CTGAGCGACTCCTCCGACACTGAGCACGAGGACATGTGCGCTTCGCCGCGTCTGCAGCGCCGAAGGAAACTTAGGAGAAGGTTGGAGGACACGTTCCGTATCGATAAATGTAGAATTTTTAGCTTAAGTTGAGGTTGCTGGAATCATCTTTCTTTACGATTAGACCTAACAAGAAATTGGTTTAATCCGTTTTATTCATATTAATTGAATTCCTTGATTCTGTTCAATGGTACGGAAATGTGAGATATACAGGGTGGGGCAGAACCGATTGAGCAGTTTTGACGCAAAATAAAAGAGTAATGGAGGGACATAGAGAAGAAAGTTTATTTTCCTAGAGGTTAGCATAGCATACCATTTAGAATACTTATGCTTTGAAAACAATATCTGGAGATGGGGGCCTTGTGAGGCTCATTATTTTGCCTAAATCGATTGTTTGACGTCGTTAAAATGCCAAAAGTAATTCGAGATAATAAACGGAATATTGCATTATATTTGTGCAGTATAATGTGAAAATATCGTCGAATAATTTTTATGCGCTATTTTATTGAAAAATCAAACCGTATTTTTTTTGTATTTCCTCTCGTTCACTTTCTCTAAAGTGGAAAAAACAGCATCAAAATTGAATTAGGAATGTTGCTCGGGATTCATTATAAGATATACGAGAACTGTGAAATTAATAAATATATCCCGTACAGAATGCGAGAGCGGCTGGAGAGCGAAGCCGATGACCTGGTCTATCTGGACACCCTGCCTGAGGTGAGTGAGTTGATAGTCTGGGAGTCTGCCGTAAGCAAGTCTGCCCGAGTTGGTAGTCTGATGGGAGTCTGCCTTAGGCAAGTCTGCCTAAGTTGGTAGTCTGCCTGAGGCAAGTCTGCCTGTCATAAGTCTGCAGGAGGTGAACTGAGGAGGTTCTACCTGAACTGAGTTCACGGAGGCCTCCGCCTCGAACTCTCGCTTGTCACTTGACAAATGAGGTTTCTTCTATCCAGCTTAACGGTTTCTACTAGCCCCGATATTGATACCAATGATAACTGCGAGGTTTAGTTTTGATTCTACATTTTCATTATACTCTAATTCCATAGCGATATTTTTTACTTCAATCTCGTGAGAGCAGCCGTAGTCACATGTAAGCGATTTATTTTTCGATATTGTTAGCGAATTTTCCCATTTATGGGAAAAAGGCGCTATTGTGCTCGTCATGTCCGTCCGGTTGTCTGTCTATCTGTCCGTCCGTGACTTCACGTTTTCGTCGACGAGAAAATGCGCTCTCTGTCACTCACTACAGTGAGTACTGAGTTATATTTTTTTCTTTTCCTGTTTACGTATCGCAGCTACATGAGGTGTCGAACTTAGACGACAACACTATTCCTTTCCTGCCTTCTTCATTTTGATGGTCCTTTGATTCTTTCAGTCCCGAGGTAATTGTGAATAAATGTTTCTTCTCTGGGTGATAGATCTATATCTTGAGCGAAACTTTAAATTTAACACAATATATATGAAAAAACACTATTCTCTCCAACATGCTATACAAGCCCTTGTCGCCCAAGGGCAAATAATAAAATTTATATATGGCTGATTCTGAGATTTCACTGTCTCTTTGATGACAGACGATGGAAGTTTTATAAGTGTGTGTGATGGGTTTAAATTATAGATTTAGTAGGATTGGATATAGGTAAATGAAAGGCACCTGAGTGCAATTTTTTAACTGCCTATATGTAGGTTAATTTTTACGTAGAATAATATTTCAAGACTCTTTAGCCTTTTTTAACTCGAATTTTATTTGCAGCACAATAGACTTGTTGAAGTCACATCAAACATCTGGGGCACAAAGTTCAAGCTTCACGGAGTTGCGTCGTCACTCCCTCCCAACCTGGGACAAGTGACGTATAAAACATCGCTGCTCCATCTGCAGCCTCGTCAGATGACCCTCATGATAACAGAACTCCGGGATGATATTCCTCCCAGGCCCGACCCTTCCTTCAATCCAAATGTCTTCTCGGAAGATGAAGAAGATATTGGTGAGATCTTGC